AAAAAAAAAAAAAGAGGTGCATCTGTGAAAAACAACCACATGCCTAAAAAGAAAGGAAGCATAGAGGGATAGCTGTGTGAATGAATGAATAAGAAATGATGATTTCAATTAATTCACTTCTGCACCTGAGGCTCAGAAGGATAAAAGAAGGGAAGAAAAGAGAAAGCGAGGAGAGGGGCGAGGGGACACAGAAAATTATGACAAGAGGGATGTGAGCAATAAAAACATAATGGACAAATATGCCTAAAAAGAAAGGAAGCATAGAGGGATAGCTGTGTGAATGAATGAATAAGAAATGATGATTTCAATTAATTCACTTCTGCACCTGAGGCTCAGAAGGATAAAAGAAGGGAAGAAAAGAGAAAGCGAGGAGAGGGGCGAGGGGACACAGAAAATTATGACAAGAGGGATGTGAGCAATAAAAACATAATGGACAAATACTCATATACGTAAATACACGACAGAGGGCCACGCTAGAACAAAAAAATGAGACGCCATCAAGCCAAAAATGATGACTTATTCAACACTGGGCTCTTGAGATAGTTAAATTCTAAAGCGAATCCGCAATACAAGGAATTAACAGGCAAAAAGGAGCCCCGGTGGACTGGGGATGAGGAGCCTCTGAGAACCACAGGTTACTATTAATCCAATTCTGTGCACCTGAGGTCCATACATAAGAGAATAAACAGTGAAATAAAAGAGTGACAGAAAGAAGGACCAGGCACATGAGTGACTGAAGGAGACACGGCAACGCCTGCCCCAGCCGGGGCAGTGCTGCCCGTGGGATTGTCACTCGGCTCACTCCAGGCACCTGAGGTCTCCGAACGTGAATGCACGTGAGACGAGGGCATTGGGGAGTCAAAGAAAGACGAGGGAAGGCAAAATGACTCGGTGCAAGACGTGGGAAAACAGATACCCAGACAACCCCATGAAAAGGTTACCAGTTCGGGGCTGTGTCCGAAAGAGAAGGATCTGTTAAGGTTAGTCATGAGGTGGTTATTAATTGCAAAGATTGATGAGATCATCCAGTCTGGGTTTCTAGGGCAAAGGAAGTAGAGAGAATAGACAAAGAAGCCAGAAAGGAAATAGGAAAGATAATAAACAGCCGAGGTGATCAACGGGTCGTTAAGAGAGCTTGTCT